GCGAGCCGGGGACTGGCACGAAGGGAGCAAGAAACAGGGGCGTGAGAACAACAGTAGCCAGTCAACCAAAAGCCCGAGTGAAAGAAGACAACGCGTAAGGCGGGATTTGCTAACTCTTTGGACGAACCATCCCCCGCAGGATACAATAGAGCGGACCTATACCACAAGATCATGGGGCCCGACCGCGCCGCCGGCTGGTTCCGCAGCCTCGACGCCGCCGCCGGGCCGCTGGGCATCCGGTTCGACTGGAGCGGCCGGACCGGCCACACGAGCGACTCGCACAAGCTGCTGCTGCGCGCCTCGGACCTCGGCAGGGCGGCGTCGCTTCGGATCGGCGGCGGACTCTTGCAACAACAACAACAACAACAACAACAACAACAACAACAGCAGCAGCAGCAGCAGCAGCAGCAGCAGCAGCAGCAGCAACCTGGCACTGCCGCCGACCAACCCAGCAGCGACGACGGGGAAGCCACGTCTTACCCCTCGCCGCCCCGAGACGACGGCGACGATGACGACGACGACGGTGAGGATGGCGACGACGACGATGAGGATGGCGACGACGACCGCGGCGACGACAACAACACCAACAACACCAACAATACCAACACCAACTACAATCACAGCAACAACAGCGCCCCGCTCCGCCGCCTCCTCCGGCACGTGTTCGAGGGCTCGTTCGAGAGGGGCCGCGATGTGTCGGACCGGGCATTCCTGGCCGAGGCGGCCGTGGCGGCCGGGGTGGCGGCCGACACGGCCGATGCGCTCGGCTGGCTCGACCACCCGGGGTCGGCGGCGCGGCTGGCGGCGGGGACCGCGACCGCGTCGGCGGGAGCGCCGGGCGTCGCGGCCGTGCCGTCCTTTGTCGTCCAGGGCAAGTTCAAAGTCGGCGGCGCCCAGCCGCCCGACGTCTTCCTCGCGCTGTTTGACCGGTTGGGTGGGGAGGGGAAGGCGTGAGGGGGGGAAAGGAAAGAGAAAAGGAGAGAGAAAAGGAGAGAGAAAAGGAGAGAGAAAAGGAGAGAGAAAAGGAGAGAGAGGGGGCGTTGATGGGTTGCCCCCTTTTTTGGTTCTTGGTTTCTTTCTTTTTTCGCACTTCTCTGAGCGAGCGGCTGCCGCTGTCGATGGCATATAGGCGCGGGTTATCATAGTAGGCGTTCATAGGTTAAAATTTCCGACAAGAACCGCCTCTACAAAGACTAAGCTCTGATTTCTACTCTGGTTCGGGATTCACGCTTTCGGATAACGTATCTCGGGCTGGTTAACGATCCCCTCCCTTCGTAATGATGCCTCGTGAAAATAACACCTCGGAGAGAACCGCTATCGTGATCATATGACAAGGGCTGGGTATCTCTGGCCAAAGTGGCGGATCCCATGCCACTGGTTCCTCATAATCTCTCTATCTGCCTCGACGTTGTTCTACCCAACAAACCAAAACGCCGACCCATGGGATGTAAACACCTCAAAACGCCAGCCAAAGCAAAAATGATAAAAAAAACAAAAAAAAAAACAACCCCAAACCTTTCCCCCCTCACTTTTGATTAAACTTCTCGAGCAGGTGCGCCATGTGCGTGTTGGTCCTCTGGGCGCCGCTCCGACGCGCCGACTTCTTCTTCTGCTTCTTCTCGACCGCCTGGATCTTGAGGCGCGGGTCCTCGCTCGTGGGCTTCTGGCCGACCTGGGTGAGCTTCCTAACCATGTCCTCGGCGGCCGGCATCTCGACGCGGTGAAACAGAATCTTGAACTCGTCGTCGACGTCGTGGTTGAGGGCCGGGTCGTCGATCCAGACGGACCGGGCGAGCCCGCCCTTCTTGGCGCGCACCACGAGCAGCTTGTGCTCGGCCTCCATGCGGTCGATGGCCTTCTCGCAGTCGGCCCAGCCGTCCTTGATGTCCTTGACGGCCAGCCCTTGGGCCTGGCGCAGGCTGCGCAGGTGGGCCAGCAGCGCGTGCTCGTCCTTGACCCCCGGCAGGGTCGGGCAGTGCTCGTAGGTGCCGCGGCGCCAGGACTCGGCCGGGTCGGCGCCGGCGGGCGGCTCCGTCTCGGGGTTGTACTTGACCTTGGTGTGGGTGAGGAGGCGGTCGCGCACCTCGCGCATCTTGCGCTCGTCGACGCGCGTCAGGCCGACGTGGGCCAGCAGGTCGTCGAGCGTCCGGGGCGCGCCGCCCTCCTTCTTGAGGTACTCGACGATGTAGATGATGTTGGTGCCGACGTCGGTGCCGAAGCCCGTATTGGCCGGCTGCGAGAAGATGGGCGCGGCCGAGTCGCGCTTCTGCTTCTTGGTTGGCGTCGTCGCCGTCCCGCCGCCGCCGCCGCCGCCGCCTGGCGCCGCGGACGTGGTGGACGCCACCGACGGCGACGGCGACGGCGGCGGCCGCCGAGGGCCCTTGCCCGGGCGGTCGAGGTAGGACATGTTTTGTGAGGGAGGGTTTTGCGTCTGCGCTGCTGATGGCGCCGACGTGGGGAGGAGGAGGAGGAAGCCGGCGCGGGTTTGTTTGCTGCTGAGCGGAGCTGCTTCAGCGACACAAAGCGATCCTTCTAGTGCAGGTTGCAGGTGCCGTCAATGCGGAGTTGCCTGCCGCATGCAGATCCACAGCTCCACATTAATTGGTCTAATGCCTGTTCTTTCAACATACGATAAGCGGCAATGAATATGTGAATGCGCTCGGAAAGCCCGGATGGAAGCCCAGGAAAGTCAGTCTACGTGAATCCTGTTTCTTTTGCAAAAAAAAAAAAAAACTAATCCTCCTGGTACATCCGCCATAACCGCCACACGTTCAACACACTCTACACATGTCGGAAACAAAGTCTACTCCGAACCCAGCCTAGAGAGTCATAATCTTGGTCTATTAAAAATGTCGCTATCTCGCAGAGCCCCTCGCAATGCCCGCCCGCCCGCCCGAAACGAGGGGCGGCCTTGGTATACCCAGTGCAACCGGGCGCCCGGGGTGTGTCTATCGTGTCCCTCCGAAAGCGAATATGCATGGGTGAAGCTTCCCCCTCATCCCCTCCCAAGATTCGCAAAGTTGCCTTGAACCAGAAAAAAAAAACCCCCCGAGTCTGTGAGGTCGCGGTCGAACAGCGATGGCGTCTTGTGTTTGGCTTCGTCCCGCTGTTGCGTGGCCTTGTCTATCTGCATGCGCGGTCTCTTCCCCCTGGTGCGTAGGTAGGTAGATGGATAGTATTGATGGTCAAAATCGGGATGTGATTTAAACCGAGGCGGCGGCCTGCTGTTGCTGCAGGTACTGGTACGCGGCGTAGGCTGCGATGCCGCCGACCAGGATGACGGCGTACAGTCCAATGCCCATGCCTGCCGCGCCCGTCTGCGCGGCCGGGGCCAGAGATCCGGAGGCCTGGGACTTTGGTGACGGGTCGCCAGCCTGTAGAGGGTGTGGAAAAAAAAGGAGGGGGTCAGGCTTGTCAGTCGAGAGATAAAGGATGGATGGCACGCTTGCTCCCCGACGGAGAAAAAGAGGGAGGGGCAAGGACATGTGTGGGGAAGCGCAGGGGGAACGGGCAAACCCACCTGGCGCTTCAGGTCGCCAACCAGCAAGCTGCTTAGCGTCTCGCGGGCCTCGTCGCTGTGGCCGACGTCCTCGAACGCCTCGGTTGCGTCCTGTCCGGCAACGTCCAGCATGACCTCCTCACCACCACTGCAAGTGCGAGTCGAGGCTTTGATTTAGCATGCAGAACGTCCGAGCGGAGGCGGAGGCGGAGGCGTGAGGGGTCCGACTTACGGATGCTCGTCGACAAACTTGGTGGCATCGTAGACCTTGTCGTGGATCACCATGAACAGGTCCTTCTTGGTGTTGTGCTCGGCGACATCCTGGTACGTGTACGTCTTGGTGGCCATTTTGATCGTGTTTTTTTCTTTCTTTTTCTTTTTCGTTGGCGGAGGATCGCTACGATGTTCGGGTCGCTGGTCAGTCTGGGAGAGAGACGTTACGGAGTCGATGGGAGGGCTGAACGGGGGCGGTCGCAAAGGGTTGGGCGGGAGGATGGGGAAAAGAGGCAGATTTCTCTGGGACGCCAAGTAGGAGCCGGTACCTTTGGGAAGTTAGCTCTGGTCGCTTGTACGTGGTTCGGGATCGGGGTTTCTCCACCATCCGAGCAAGGGGGGATTTATAGGATTATTTAGGTTACGGTGCGGTCGCCGGAGAGTGGGAGAGGCACATCGCTCCGACCGCCCTTTTGGCAGCAAATCCGGAATACGCGGCCTGGGATTGGTCCGTTGTTGCGGATGCACCACCAGCGGCGTTTCTGGGCTGATCTGGCATCTTGCTTCCCGTCCCCACCCGCCCAAGGCAATCCCTCGACCGAATCCGAACTCCCCCATCATCCCCTCCTCGCCAGGTCGCACGCCGAGCTCACTCCCGACCCGACCGACGAGGCTCCCAAGACACGTGCAAGGCCCATGTGCCGGAACTCAACAACTTGTCCGTGATGCCGAATTTGTTAAGCTGTGGTCCACATGCCTCCTATAGGTACCAGGTACCTCCTACAGGTGGCCTCGTGGCTTTTCGATTGCTGTGGGCTGTTGTCGCTTTAGCAGCTTAGGGCGGCCAATCCTGACCTAATGTGTCTTTCTTGCAAGAATCAGCCTCTGTGCGACAGAACCGTCTTTTCTTCCATTGGCTGCTTCATGACAATGTCGAGACTCCCCAGCGGGAACCTACGTCTCAGTAGCGTCCGCTATGTAGGTGGCCGAACATCCGTGCACGACTCTAGCTGCCAGGTCTTTGGCCCCAGACACACACACACACGCACCTTACAAGCCATTATTAGTCTTTATCCTTTCTGTCATTGATTCATTGATGACCTCCTACCTTTCTTCCGTTGGCTACCTCTACCATAGCCTTCTCTAGCGCACCCAGCGCCACGCAAACCCCGCTCCCTGAGCCTGGCCCCAAACAGCAACAGGAGGCGCTCAACGCCTTGAGCTTCCGCCGCCGATGTCCTGCCCCAGACGGTAGCTTGCAACCTTGTCCCACTCAATCTTCTGGCGGGTAACTGGCAGCTGCCTCCTGAGACCCTTGAACGCGCCTTCGCTGAGGTCGGTGAAGCCCCTATTCAGCTCCTCCTGGTACTTCTTCTCGGCGGCGCCAATCTCCTTGGCGATCCCGCTTCCCGTTGCCGACGCCACCGTCACGCTCACGGCCTTGTCCGCCAGCAGGCGCACGTTGCCGTCCTCGTAGTAGTGCACGTCAACCTTGATCGACCCCTCCAGCGCGCCACTGTCAGGGCTGAACAGGTACAGCGATCGCCACCGTCCGTTCCTGAGCTTGTGTGTCAGATCTCTGCCAGCAGTCTCGTCCTTGCGCTCGTCCTGCGTGCGTCGCATCCCGCGTTCCTCCTCGCCGGTGAAACGAGCACTATTCGTCTTCTCAAACATACCAAAAGTTCTTGGGGCTGTATTTGTTGCCGACGGTCAGGATGGCCACCTTGGTGTCGTTTTCGGTGGGGTACACGCCAAATGAGGCGTTGGGGAAGTGTTCCTCGATGTACGGTCCTATGCTCTTCAGCGTCGACTTGCTGGTGGTGCGGTTTAGCGAGTGGGCTGTGGGAGGTGTGATTTTGAGGACCGTGTGAGAGATCCCTTACACGAGGTCTGAGTGCTGGCTCTCAAGCACGTGGCTCTGGACCGCGCTGGCCGTCTGGGCGACGTGGTCGAAGGCGAAGCTTGACGAGCTCTCGACATCGTAGTACCGACCGCCGCCGAGTGAGTTGTGTGTGCTGATAATCACCTGCAGATCCCACCCCCTGTCAGTCGCCTCGCTCGGCTAGCCCCAATGGGGATAGAAAAGTTCAACTGCCTCGTCGCCGTGCGGGAGGTTGTGCCGGCGCAGACGGACCTGTTGGCTGCTCCCCGGGAGCTTGACCGTGGTGAACTGCTCCTCATTGTACTTTTCGAACGACGGCGCGAGCTTCTGGGCGATTGCGGGATCCTGCGAGATGGATTTGATGTCTGGGCTGCTTGTTAGCTCGACCATCGGCGCGTGGGGCTGATCGCGGTTTCCGTACCGGCAACGACATCTGCAAGCTTCACCGAATGGTCAGTCAGGGGGCTCTGATGGGGATGTATGTATTTGCCCCTGTCTGTACGGCTGGGACACTGTCACGGGTCGGTGTCGCGAGCCTCACCTCTCCTGGAGGAGCACCCTCCAGATACTCGGACAATATCACTAGGCGGTCGTTGGCCATGGTGGGTGTTGTTTGAGGAACTAGAGGCAGAAACGGTGCCTCGGGTGTTCAATCTCGCTGGGCCAGAAGGAGGTGTGTTTGTCCGCCGCGAGTGCGCCTCCTAGGTAGTAGTGCTTTGTCCGCATTCCGGAGGCCCAGCGTGTTGCGGGGCAGCTTGGGTCCAAACCAAGAAGCGGCGGGATACTGGCAGGTGGAGGGGCAGCAACTTGCGACCCAATCAACAGCTGGAAGGCCTCCACTGTTTGGAGCTCACACTCGACAGTTGCAAAGTGCACTTGCGGCACCTCTTTGATAAAACCAAATTTATGTTTATGCTATCTGAATAGACATGTAATTCTATGTACTTTGGTTCTTCCTGCGAAATAAAACCGTTGTAAACTGTCCTCGTTTTTCAAGCAATCTGTCCCCGCCGATGGCTGGGTTTCTATTTGCGGCAATCGTATCCAAAAGAAGAACGTTACTTGGATTCACGCACTAGATGCACGTAGTATCATGAGTGTGGTATATGTGGTGGTGCCAATGTAGCATATCAACACGCTGCTAGTGCTGTGCTCGTGTGGCATTGCCTGTATGACGCGGGGTATAACGCCATGTCGAGCGTCAAGCAACAGTGCCCGCTTCTCAAAAACACAAAACAACACTCTGTGGCTTTTCTTCTAATATTTTGTTACCTTTTTGATCCGGTCATAAATTCCTATATATATTTTTTCGGGTCAGCACGGTACTCGCCGGATAGCAGGATATCAAGGCCACGGCTCGTCACTTACTCGCAGTGTCAGGGGCGTTAAACTTCTCAAATACCAGGGGCGTAGGTATACTCCATCCGGCAACCCTCTCAACCGGGGCTTCCAGCCGAATGAAGGTCTCCTCATCCTCCTGAATGACAGCTGCCACCTCGGCGCCGACGCCCTGATTCACCATGGATTCGTGCACGACGATACACCTCCCCGTCTTCCGGACGCTCGCCAGGACGCACTCCTTGTCCCAGGGATAGATGGTCCGCAGATCTATCAGTTCCACGCTGACGCCGAGGTCCTTCTCGGCCTTGCTGATGGCGTTCATGCACGTGTAGAGAGGAGAGCCGTACGAGACGATGGTGACGTCGCTTCCTTCCTTGATCACCTCGGCCTTGGATAGCGGCAGCGTGTAGGGTGCTGTGGGCACCTGCTCGACGGCGGCCCGGTAGAGCACCTTGGGCTCCATGAAGATGACGGGGTCGTTGCTGCGGATCGCCGCCAGCAGCAATCCTTTAGCCTGAAGCGGCGAGCGCGGCATGACGACGCGGAAGCCGGGGACGTGCGTGAACAGGCTCTCGGGCGACTGTGAGTGGTACAGCGCGCCGTGGCCCACGAGCCCACACGGCATGCGCACCGTCAGCCCGCCAGCGCTGCGCCCGTTGGTGCCGTCGCGGTATCGGAACTTGGCCGCTTCGTTGACCATCTGGTCAAAGGCCGGGAATACGTAGTCGGCGAACTGGATCTCGGCCACGGGCCGCATGCCCTCGGCCGCTAGCCCAATGGCGAAGCCCATGATGCCCTGCTCGCTCAGGGGTGTGTTGAAGACCCGCTCGCCCCCATGCCGCTCCGCAAGGCCCATGGAGCAACGGAACACGCCGCCAAAGGCCACGTCCTCGCCGAAGAGAAGCACCGACTCATCCTCAGCCAGGGCGATGGAAAGCGCATCGTTGACGGCTTGGAATAAGTTCATGCGCTTGGTGGAGCCGCTACGAACGTCGGGCGGTAGCTCCGGGTTGTTGAGCGCGGCTTGCGACGTCTGCGACAGGAGGGGGGTTGTCGAGTAGTCTATCGGCACATTCAGTCTGGCTTTGGGTGGGTGGGTCGAGTATAGGCGAACTGCCGAAGCTGCAACACGACACCGACTGGACCGGGAGGAGGAGGAGGGAAGAATTGGGTGGCGGCCAGAGAGCAGCAGCCTCCTTAGCGGTCTTGCAGTTGAGGTACTCATGGCGGGTGAGTGTGTGGCGGTCAAGGCCAGTCAGAGTTGAGGGAGCCGAGTTGGGATTCTGGAGTGGGCGAGGCCGAGGAGAAGCGGCGGAGGACAATCGATGTCCAACTAATCAATCGTCAATCAATTAACAAGGAAACAAAGGACAGAAATGAGCCTCTCGATGCTTGACCGCTAGGATGAGCAGCGTTCCCGACGGCCAGCCGAGGAGGCGGGCGTCGAGACATGATGTCAAGTCCGAGAGGGGGATGACCTCGGCTTCCAGCGGCCATTCGCGGTTCAGGCCCAAACAGCACCAACCCCTGCTGCCAATGCACGCACTTTGGCGCCAAGATAAGATAGTTGCCCCGTCAACACTGCCAATGGCCGACATCGTCATCTTCCAGCTTGGCCCAAACAGGAAAACCTGGCAGCTGCAGGTTTCAGCTCCCCATTTGAACGAGACGCTGTCAGCGGATCTGACACCTTCCACGGTCTTTCCCGAACACAACCACCACACCTCTTTGGGCTGCATCGCAGTCGACAAACCGCCCGCTTTGTCTGAACACGTTTTGCAAGATGAGCGGTGAGGACTCTCCTCGCGAGCACCGCAAACGCCGAGAGTCCAGCTCGCGCAGACAGCACCGGCGCAAATCAACCTCGCACAACCGACACCATGCCGACGCGGAAGATAGCGGATCGGGCGGCACTCAACCCCTTTCTCCGGACGCCCTAGCCCACCTCAATCAGGGCAACGCGCGAGATGTCCCCCGCGCCCGGGAGAGGGGCGGGGAACGAGAGAGGGGTGGAGAAAGGGTGAGAGACAGGACCAGAGAGAGGACAAGAGAGAGAACTAGAGAGCGCGAGCGGGAGAGGGAGCGGGACGGAGACGGCGAGAGAGACGAGGAAGACGAGCGGACTCGCGAAATGAGAAGACAGCTTGCGCGCGAGTGGGAGCGGAGCAGGAAGCAGCGAGTGGAAGAGCCGCCTGCACGCGACCGCACCAGAGAGCGCCCTCGGGAGAGAGAGCGAGAGCGGGACAGGGAGCGGGACAGGTCCAAGCGACAGGATCGCCAGCGGGCTGTCGACGCAAGCCGTGACCGCGAACGGGAGCGGGAGCGCAACCGGGATAGGGAGTCCAGGCCGAGACCCGAGAAGAAGCAGTACAAAGAGGTTGATCGTGGAGAGGGCTCGAAGCGACCAAAAGAGAAAGCCGGCGGCATGAAGAAACGGGTTGTCAGCGGCGCGGTCATGGAGGAGGGCAGAAGCAAGGGGTTCAGGGGCCTGCGCGGTGGTGGCTGGAGCAGCAACGCCAGCACAGATAAGATGCCGCTGACTAACAAGAACTCGCCGGAATACAAGCGGAGGCGCAAGAAGATCCGTAAGTCAACAATAAGCAATCTACTGTCCGTTGTCGTGCTAGAGTCTAACTTGCCGTGCTTCTAGTGATCGGCATCGGTGTCGGAGTTGTGCTCGTCATCATCCTCATTATCGTCGCGGCGGTTGTGAGCACACAGAAGGAAGTCCCGGGAGAAAACAAGTCAAGTCTGAACGACATATCCAAAGACAGCATCCCCCCAGGTGCGCCCTCGTATCTCGATCCGTTCCAGTGGCAGGACACCAAGGACTTCAACCTGACATACACGGCCGCTACGGTGGGGGACCTCCCTGCCATGGGCCTGTTTAGCAGCTGGGACGACTCCAAGCAAGCCAACGACAAAGTCCCACCGCTAAACAAGCCGTGGGGCTCGTACGCGTCGCGGCCGGCGCGGGGGGTGAACCTGGGTGGGTGGCTCAGCATCGAGCCCTTCATCACGGCGGACCTGTACAACTGGGACGCGGGCAGGGGGGTCATCGACGAGTGGACCATGTGCCGGGAGCTGGGGTCGAGCTGCGCGGGCTTCCTGGAGAAGCACTACGCGAGCTTCGTGACGGAGCAGACGTTTGCCGACATTGCGGCGGCCGGGCTGGACCACGTGCGGATCCCGTTTGGGTACTGGGCGGTGCAGACGTACGACGGCGACTCGTTCCTGTTCCGGACATCGTGGCGGTACCTGCTCCGGGGCATCGAGTGGGCGCGCAAGTACGGGCTCCGCATCAACCTGGACCTGCACGGCCTCCCGGGCAGTCAGAACGGGTGGAACCACAGCGGGCGGCAGGGGACCATCGGCTGGCTCAACGGGGCCGACGGGACGCGCAACGCGCAGCGGTCGCTCGACATCCACGACAGGCTGTCTAAGTTCTTTGCGCAGGACCGGTACCGCAACATCATCTCGCACTACGGGCTGGCCAACGAGCCCAAGATGACGTCTCTGTCAACGTCGGCCGTGGTGGACTGGACGTCCAAGGCGTTCGGCCTGGTGCGGGCCAACGGGATCCGCGACGCCATCGTCGTGTTCGGCGACGGCTTCATGGGCCTCCACAAGTGGCAGGGCCAGCTGACGGGCCACGAGGGCCTGGCGCTCGACGTGCACCAGTACGTCATCTTCAACGTGAACCAGATCGTCTTCAACCACTCGGCCAAGATCCAGTACGCGTGCGACGGCTGGACCAAGCAGACGCAGCAGAGCATGGACACGACCACGGGGTTCGGGCCGACCATGGTGGCCGAGTGGTCGCAGGCCGACACGGACTGCGCGCGCCACCTGACAAACGTGGGTCAGGGCAACCGCTGGACGGGCACGTACAAGAGCGGCGACCCGTTGACCGAGGCGCTCACGCCGCGCTGCCCGGCCCAGGACTCGTTGTGCGACTGTGCCATGGCCAACGCGGACCCGTCGCGCTACAGCGACGCCTACAAGGCCTTTTTGCGCGCCTTTGCCGAGGCCCAGATGCACAGCTTCGAGAAGGGCTGGGGCTGGTTCTATTGGTCCTGGGAGGCCTCGCACGCCCAATGGAGCTACAAGAAGGGCCTGGCCGCCGGCATCCTGCCGCCCAAGGCCTACGACCGGTCTTTTAACTGCGACCTGTCCAAGGTGCCTAGTTTTGCGGGGTTGCCTGAGACGTACTGATGGTTTCTGTCGTGATTTTTATTTTTATCTTTAGCTTTGGGTTTTGATATTCATCATTTCATGCTACTTATTTTTTGGTCACCACCACAACAACATATCCATCTCAATGTCATGTAGATAGCAGCAAGCGAACACGGGGCGAGACGATGTCACAGACCATGATATACGAATCGATGTAGGGGTAGATAGAAATGAAACCTTTTGGATATCGGCTACTTTGGTGTTTTCCCCGTCTTGTTGCTCCAGTCATCCGGCGAAAAGAAGGCTCGCCGAGTCTCGGCGCATCGCCGCAGCCGGGAAGCCCATCCAATGCAACCTTCCCTGTGCCCTGCATACCCCATGTCCCCATTGGGCGGCGTCGCCGTTATCTTGGGCCGGTAGCCTCCAGCCTCCCCTGCAATGTAGCGGGCAGGCTCTGGACCGTGGAAATAAAGATATATATAAAAAAAAAACCAGACAGGGAATCTAGCGTCGGGATTGTGTCGGCATCTATGTGCTAATAAAGTAATCCCTCAATGGCCCTCACGTAAAAAGAAGTGCGTCACTGGGGTTTGTCAGGCATTTGCTAATGATTCAAGGTCAAAGTTTAATTCCGCACTATGTCCGCTCGCTACGACGCTGCCAACCTCCACCCCTTGGAGACGACTCCGGAGAGCCCGCCAGGCCGGGTGGAGTGGCAATGTTGTTGACGAGCAACGCGGATGCGGGCCATGGACGCCTTCCCTCCACGCCGGCTGGCTGACTCGTCTCTCGGCCCTCGCTTTGATGCTCGGAGGCGGCTCGGCCTCGCGATCTATACATTGGAGTCACAAACCTTTGTCATCCCAGCCCGATCCACACTTTTGATAAGAAGAGGCACCCATCTCACTGACATTCACGAAAGGGCCCGTGTGTTGTTTCGGGGCAGATGAGTGCGCTTGTTTACCAAACCTGCCTCGCGAACAGTTCCATGTTGTCATCGTTGTGAGCAAAGACCAAACCAGAGACAGACATTCTATTTCACCCTGTTGGCTGTCTACTGGAGAAAACACAGGGAACGAGAAATGGATCGGAAAGACTTGGAAAAAGAATCAGCGCCGGAGCTCGCTAAAAAGTCGGCCGAAGCGCCGACGTCTTGCGACGCCAGCTCGGCATCGGACGATGACGAGCCCGAGTACGCGCCTATCCGAAACCCGCCAGCCAGCGCCGGCGCGCCAAGACCGCCGTCGTCCAAGGAGGGCGGCGGCGGCGACCTCAACCGGCCCCTGACGGCGGCCTCGAGCGCGTCCAGGAGGACCGTCTCGCGCGTGCGGTCCAACAACGGCTACGGCTGCGACGACGGCGACGACGACGGCGACGGCAACAGGGGAGCAGATGGCAACGCTGCAGGTCCTGATCATCCGCCCGAGCGGGACCCCTTCGAGGTCTGCTTCGAAAAGGGCGACAGGGACCCACTGTGCCCTCGCAGCATGGGCATAGCCAGGAAGTGGATGATTGTGCTCATCACGTCCTGCGGCGCCCTTTGCGTGTAAGTGGCAACCCCCC